AAATAAAACTATTTTTGTCATTTTCGTTTTTATATAAAGATAAAATATAAAGCACTATTTTTTATATTTTTTTTTCAAGATTAAAATGGTTACAAAATGTTAATAACTTTTTTTTTTTGTAATTTTCGAAATTATACAACGATAAAAATATAAAGTACTTTTTTTTTAATTATAAAACTACAATTCTAAATTGAGCTACAAACTAAATTAACTCCAAAAAATACTAATTAAACTCCTAACAACAATTATCATACACAATTAAACACCAATTAAAACAAAATTACATAATTTGACATTAAATACTAACAATGCAAAATATTCTTGTTTTTTGTGACTTTCATTTTTGTAAAACAAACTTAATTAAATACTAAATGAAATGTAATATATTTTATATTTTTATTAATTAAAACAAATAAACATGCACTCATAAAAATACAAATAATTATACAAAAATATCACAAAAATAACAAAAATTGCACACAAAGGAAAATTATTTTATTTTGAATTTTTTGGGAGTAATTCTTTCATAGGGCAAAAAATCACGTGCTTACACCAGGCTTCGCAAATACGAAGCCTGCAGGCCTGCAATATACCAATTAAAAATCTGCAACATCCTAGGTCCAAATTCCACTCCGTGGCCTATCCAAAACTCACCCGAGCCCTCGGGGCTCCAAACCAAACATGCACACCAACCTAAAAATATCATGCGGACTTGCTCGTGCATTTAAATCACCAAAATAACATCAACAACTATGAATTCAGCATCAAAATCATGATTCACCTAAGAACTTCAAATTTTCTAATTTTCTCAAATACGGTCCGATTCACGTCATTCCAAGTCCGTTTCTTACCAAATTTCACAGACTCATCTTAAATCACATATAAGACCTGTACCGGGCTCCGAAACCAAAATATGGGCCAGATACCATCAAGTTTTAAACACATTTCATTTTCAACAACTCATAAATATTCCAGAAAATAATTTTCTTTAAAAATTCATTTCTCAGGCTTGGGACCTCGGAATTCAATTCCGGGCATACGCCCAAGTCCCATATTTTCCTACGAACCCTCCGGGACCGTCAAATCACAGGTCCGGGTCCGTACCCAATATGTTGACCGAAGTCAACTTAAATTCATTTTAAAGTCAAAATTCATCATTTTTCATAGATTTTCACATAATGACTTTCCGGCTACGCGCCCAGACTGCGGACGCAAATCAAGGTGATGTTGAAAGAGGGTTTTAAGGCCTCAGAACGCAGAATTTATTTCTACAACAAGTGATGACCCAATTTTCACAAATTGCAATAATAAAGTAAAGAACTATAGAAGAAAATTAGAGAGAGACTGATGATTTTGTGAGTAAAAATAAAAGAATGAGGGGGTATTTATAGTTGAGAATAGGGAAAAACTGTAATTATAAAAAGTTTAAGGGGCAAATGGCTATTTTTTAAAAATCCAAACGGCTAAATTGGCAGGCCAACGGCTAGTTTTGAAACTTCCAACCGTTGGCCAATTTATTTTTAAAAAAATTAAAAAATAGTTGTTGGGCCCGTTAGGCCCGGTTGAACCGGTCCCGGGCTTGCGGTCTCTACGTGTAGGACCGACCCATAGTGGGCTCCTAGGACCGCTTGGGATCGGACCATACGGGCCAACCCGTTTAGCCCAAAGCCCATGTGGGCTCGCGGTCCCAGGCTGGGCCCGGATCACAATACAGCCTTATTGGCTTGTTTATCACTTCATATTTGCTAAAACTATAAAGTCAATATTCATATGCATACAATTGAATTTTTTCTTGATTATATACATGAACACTAATTTTGCACCAAAATAAAAAAGAAAATTGATCATTTATTGTAGACCGAAAGGAGTACGTTGTAGGTAAGAATAGGAAGTAACAATCTGCCCCATACGCACGAGATCAAAGTAGGGAATATGTTCTTTTAGAAAATGACTAACATCAACTTCTTGAAAACGTTTGTTCTTTAATTTGTAGCTTTCACTTGAAATTTCCAGGGAAAAACGACTTTTGCATTGACTTGAGCTAAACATTGAATTTATATAATTCTTATTGTAGCAATTGGATTAACATTTTTACTCTTAAAGGATTAAAAACTTGTTTCCTCAGCTTCCGATAGTAGATCTCTCTTACATTTACATCAGAGTTACCAACATTTTGGGAACAATTCAAATGAAGGTAATGATGCATTACGTGGATTCCCAGTTTTGGAAGTTTGTGGAGCAACCGGAGACTAGAGACAAACAACACAACACTTGTCCTAAAATTCTATAACATATTTCATGCTTTCTGCTCAAAATCCAAATTTGGCTATCTTAGATAGCTGAAGAATTAGAATACATAATCATTGCGAGAAGGCGAAAGATGCAACGAGGCCAAAGGCATTACAAAAGAAGAAGAAGAAATAATGGTGTCTAGACAATTGTTCCCAGAGGCACAAGATGCAAGTTCAAAACGTTCAGGTATATATTCATATTAAGCTGTTTACTGATTCTTTTAGTTTCTTCTAACTGATATTATATATCTTCAGTTGAATATCACTTGTTTTATTACCTTGCATATGAAAGAAGAAAAGATTGCATAGTGTATCCAAACGAAACTTTTGGTATAATACTGTATTCTGGGCCGAGCCTGGGCCTTCGTGGGCCAAACGGGTCGGGCTTCGTGGGCTTGGGCTCTGGCAGTCCCGGGCTTCGTGGGCTCACCTGGTGGAACCGGCCCGTGACGGGCCTAAGCCCATGTGGTCCTGGGCTAAACGGGCTGGGCTCGTGGGCTTCGCGGGCCTTTTGTAAGGCAATTTATTGTAGTAGCATGGCTATATTAAAAATATATATGTAGTATATATGTAGAAATCTAATTATTAAAGTGCTTGGCGAAAAAGAAAAATAACCAAACAATAGTAAAACACTAAATTGTCATGCATAATAAATTAATAACAAAGTACAACATGAAGCATATATATATATAGTATACTAGTATAGAATGTTATGTATATATATTTCATTGTATATTTTCTTGTAGTATATATTGTATGTTATGTATATATATTCTCTTGTATATTGTCTTGTAGTATATAT